TGTGATTTAATTGGCGGTACGTATACGATAAATGCCGTATAATATATATTTTATGATTAGATAAAACAGGTAAAAACAAGACATTCTCATTAAATTGAGACTATTTGCATAATAGATCGTACAAAATTTGTCAATATCTATTATCGTAATAAATTATATTAATGTATTACTTTCATATGTTTTTATTTTATTTTCAACATATTATGCGATTAAATTACAAGAATTTTCTTTTAACTATTGCATCAAACTAAGTATTTATATTACTTATTATTATTATTAATCATCACTAATAATATTCAAATAATAATTCCAAGTGAATCATATGTGATAAAATATAATTAAATATTGTTATTATAAAAATTGTAATTTATATTACCAGATATAGATTGCTCTATATCAGATAATAGTTAATAAAATTTCGATAATTCTGGAAACTTTATAATATTTCAATTCTATGCTAAATATTTTGCCAAGGAATTGTTATTTTAAAAATATCAAAAATTATTATATTTATAAAAATTTAATTTTCATCGATCCTCCAGCGAAATACATTATTTGTACATCATATCACTTTATTACAAACTTAATCCACTACGGCAACGTTTCAAGTATAACGTTTCAAGTGTATACACAACATTGTTGTGTACTTCTCTCAACGATATCGTATAACGTTACGTCCTATCGTACAACTCGAATGTATATCCGGATATTTCGTTTTCGTCGACTAATTAGTCGTAATACTTGTAAATCTTTCATAACAGAATTTCAAGCAAAGAAAATGCCGATATATACCATAAAAAGCTTAACAAATTTGATTGAAACTTATTAAGAAGAAATTATTTAAAATCTAACACATGATTTTCGAACTTGTTTCATAATATAAAAAAATTTAATTCGTTTTTAACACTTTCTAATGAAAGTATAACTTACACTATTTTTATACTTAGAAAAAAAAATTAACATTTATATAAAGATAAACAAAGGTTTAACTTTTATATTACTAATCTGATAATTTAATTACTTCACATTTCTTTCCTAATTTTGTAAAAAATTCATCGACAGTCCGATACCATTTACCCTGCACGGTCAACTGTGGTTTGGGAATTCTCTTTATCTCCTCGAAGATGGCGCGATAGGTGCCTCTGGTCCCGATCATCAGGGCGTCACCCCGCAGTTCACCCCGAGCTGCACGATCATTTAACGGAGAAACCACCGCCCAATTTTTTTGCGTCTTTTTTTTCGCCACTCCATTCCCTTTCCCTTCGAAATTTCATGATAGCATACTTTGCTTCGAGAATTCCACAACACATTTCCAAGGTTCCAGAACGAACCACCACTTTACCCAGGACGCATGTTTCTCGTAGGCACGCATACCAAACGCGGTGGTTGTGCGTGTCTTCGATCGTCCACCTTGCCACGGTCACAATTTATACCCCGTGATGTTCGAGACAGGTATATATGCCGTGGAATACAGCTGTACGCGCACGAACACGCTCACGATATCATGCACGCGACACTGTGCATTCCGTCCCCACGGATCGAATCACGATCGTCGAAATAATTGGATTGATCTCCTCTCTCGAACGTTGTTGATCGAATTTGAGCCTTTTGTTAATGAAATCTGTCATATCTGTCTCGAATCTGATCGGTTTACATGATAGATATAGGATCGATGATGAAAGAAAAACTTTATAAAAAAAAAAAAAAATACGATAAAAAAAATTAAGACAATTACTTTTTGAAATCAGTAATTGTTTTTACATATTCTTGAAAGAAATATATTTCTTCGGAGAATTGCAAGATATTTATCTTTTTTTTTTTTTCATAAATTTCATAAATGTTTTTTCGATGCTTGAGACGGATTAAACCAGTTCATATGTTTCCCGCTTATAAAAAAAAAGGATATAACCATCCGTTGTTGTTTAGGTCGTTTTCTGTATCGTTCCATCTATCATCTCAGGCTACAAAGGGCGCCGAGGCATTTCTCCTTTTGTATACTTCGAAGTTGGCCATGTTGGATATCATCGGAAACAGGCGGTGTCTTAAAAAGATCGAGCGGTCTCGATGCGTGGATTCTGCCAGGGGTGGGACATTCATCTCCATAGATTAGCTTCGGAGGCATCTACATGCTTTCCATATTCTGACGTATGGCTCGAGATACCTGAAAGACCACGCCTGTTCATCCCCGGTTCCCAATTTTTTTGTTGACGGTTCGAAATTAAGGGTTTTCATAGGGATAGTTTCTAATCGATGGAATAAATCAAATGATTCGAATTCCATAGATTGTTATTTCGAAAAAGGACAAGTATTAAATTCGTGTAAAAATATAAAAAATATATCTTACTTCTCTTATCTGATAATTAATTAATTTTTTAAAAATTAGAAAAGAAACATGAAATAATTAAATTAAAACTTAAGTCTTTTTTAATTCTATATCCATTGCATTTAATCTTATAAATAATAAATATAAAAAATATTTGTTGAAAATATTATTCAGTGAAACAGTGTAATTTATTTATTTATTAAGAAACAATGGCTGATCTAATTAAATATAATTGATAAAAATATAAAATAGTTGATAATTTTTATAAATTTTAATTTAAAAAATATTAAAATACTCAAATTATTAAAAAACTGTCGAGCCATTAAATCGGCCGTTATCTCTTTGCAAAAAAAAATTTGAAAATGATTCGCTAATGAGAATTTTATTTATATTCTGTTTCAGGATTGGATAGCAGCATTCAAGGTAAGTACTATTTTAACTTAAAATTGATTAAGAAGATCCGACGGAACTAATGTATCTTTTTAATCATTCGATTAATTATCTCATGCAAAAAAAAACTCAATAAATAAATCTTAATTAAAAATCATTCACTCTGTTTTAAAATCGTTAAAAATTCTTTCGTAAAATTCACGTTGCGTCATCAGGAGCGACGAAGAAACTATTGTATAGTACACCGCGTACAATACGAGCAGCCATTTACCCCTTGGCATTGAGTCTCAGCATGAAAACAAACAAGCCGCGTTATATTTAAACCGAACCATCCAGTAATGAAGCCGCAGTTCGTCCCGTGAAGAGATAGAAAAAGGAACGCAATCAATTGAAAAGAGATCTTTGACGAACGCGATACAGTAAAGTTGAATATACACTGCAATATATAATGCAAAGTTATATAAGTAAATATACAATCGTTCAAAAATCGACTTAAATGGAAATTATTTATTCTTTTTTGAATTAATGCTTTAGTATTTATGTAAAAATTTCAAAAGTGAAATACATTAAGAATTAAAAATTGAATTAGGTAATAATAATATAGATATATTATCATTCATTGATCTGACTGTCAGAATACAATGTATTGCATATAATAATAGCTTAAAGAATATATTTCTTTTCTCCATCGACAAGAATCTTGCGATCGAGAATTTTTTCCCGCCCCTGTGCACCTTCACCCTCGCGCGCTTGATGTTCCATCGAGACTGCCCCCTTGATTCCCCTCTGACCGCAAGTAGTCTTACTGTACCCTCTCTTCTCCGAGCCCGCGAGCTCGCTTCGCCACCACTCTAAGAACGTAGGAATGCCGCCGCTATCCCGATCCGGACGAGTTCAGTGGTTTCGAAGAGTCGAGCAGACGACACTGACGAAAAGCGCCAGTTTCGCTTGCATATTCCTCGCGGCAACGGAGAAAAGAAGAGGTATACGCAATTCTAGCTGAATCAAAAGAGATTTGAACGCCATCTAGATCGAAGAAGGAATCGAAAAGAGATGTTCGTGTAGCGATTCGTGATTACGAAATTTATGATCATTGTGATATACTTATTTTTTAATTGATCGATTCAATGAGTTTATGAATATTTTTGTGGAAAAGTATATATATGTATATGGATATGACAGAATAAAATGAGTTCTATAATAATCAGAAAGCTGATATGAATTGTTTAAAGAGAGGAATTAAATAAGAAGTTTTTGGTTGGAAATAAAGGTGAAGAGATAATAAAAAGAAAATGATAAGAGAGAAAAAGATCGAGAAGTAGAAATTTAAGAATACGGTGAAAATTCATAAAGAAGAACCAGTGGCCGTCGGACATACGCAAACTCACGCCTAAATCGAAAGTTATACAGATATAATTAAAAAAATTGATAAAAAATTACAAATTGAAAAAATTGTGAATGATGTGATGTTTACGATCAAGAGAAATATGACCAGATCGAAGAGAAACAAGACAAAGCGAAGAAAGCGAGAGGTATAAAAATAAAGAAGAATCAAACGACGGAAAAAGTGGATAAACGCGTGCGAGGCTAATCATCAGAAAAACTGCTAGCTCACTAGAAAGCAAAACATGAAAAAAAGGGAGCGGCAAGGAAGAGTAAACGAGAGAAAAGAGTGTAGAGAAAGAAAACAGTAGAGATTAGAGAAAAACAGAGAAAGAAAAAAAAGTGGCGAGAGAGAAAGAGAAAGAGAGAGTAAAAGTATCGCGCGAGACGTCTGAAGGCTGCACAACAGTATAGAGTATAAGGCAACGTGGTGAACAGGACTGCACTGGCAGAGAAAAGAGTAGAGCGGTGCTGAACACATAGAGGCGAAGAGAGCAAAACGAAGAGAATCGTGGTATGGACGAAGCGCGAGAGCGTGGTATAGTGAAGTGAGAACGAATGAGAGGTAACAGCAGCAGAAAAGAAACAAGAGAGAGTTGGAAGCATAGGCAGCAGCGAAGATCAGAGAGAGGCAAGTCAGTGTGGAGAGAGAGAACCATTCATCTTGGCGCGCCTAGACGGGCCGCGATTGGTCCACTTCGGATAAGGGAGCGGCGCGATTGGTCGACTCTGTTTACCAGCTGGTACCCCAGCGCGCTCGAGGATCGTAGAAGAGAGGGGGGAACAGAACGGAGAGACAAGCGGCGCCATTATTGTAAGGGGTTACATTTAGCTGGCCGTGGGTTGTAGTACGCGGCGTTCGGGATAGGGGGCTATAGTACCTTCATGCATGGCCCATAAAGGATTCGTCGACTATCCGAGAAGTACGCAAGAAACGGCTTCTAACACCTGACAGGGGCCACGCTCTTCTCTTCTCTCTCCTCGTGCCGTCGCCTCGATCACCGTCGCAGCCCAATTTTCTCACTGGGACCGCTGTGTTGGATCAGCTGGGTGGGCCTGACCGACGAAAGACCCGTTGCTTTATTGTCGCTTGTCATCTCGATGTGGAAGGAATCGTAATTACCATAAAGGAATCGTAACGTCGTCCCGAAAATCATACCTGGACAGTGGATGCTCTTTTGCTCCGGTGTGTGATTGACGACACGATCATCCGAAAATACAGAGAGAAACGAACGATCTGGAAACATCCCGTGTACGTCTGCCGTCGCAAGCTATCCGGTAATCGCGATCATCCGCCTACTAGCGATATCCTTTTCCGCCCGCGTCCGTTATCGTTCCAGTGATAATGTGTAAAGTTGCGTAAGTGGCGAGTCAAAGTGGGGGTCAAAGGTAACGAATAAACAAGAGAAAATAAAAAGATAGTCGGAAAAGGAGAAGGAAGAAAAGAAGAATTATCACGATAATTTTTGATTGAATACGAAAAGTGAAAAAAAAACGACGTGATCGTAAAGAATAACCAATTAACCGAACAATAATCGAGTGCGTGCGTACGGTGCGAAAGAAATTCGAATCAATCAAAGATCGAGAAAATATTTGATAACTTGTGATATAAGAAAAGGTGATTGGCGTGGAAGTGTGCGTGAAGATGAAGCAGCAGCCGGCAGATTTGCCGGTACGGTGTCGGTGTTGAGACACTAAACCCGGCCACCGTGTCCGGGCGTGTCTTCGGCATCGAGTCCGAAATCGGCACCGGCTACAGCCGATATGAGTTCGAAATTCATAATCGATAGTATGCTACCTAAGTACCACCAGCAATTTCATCATCAACAATTATTCTCGAGCGCGAATCCCGGCACAATCCAAGCGTGTACGACAAGCCCAGCAACCGCGAGCCTAGAATCGAGTTTATCCGCGGCTGCAGTCGCGGCCGCGGCAGTGAATTACGCGCAACAGCACAATTCCCCTAGCCCGACGGGCTCAAGTCCTCAGCATTCGGGAAGTTCGGCTTCTACGTCACCGGCGGCACGCACAACTTCCAGCATGTATCCATACGTGTCAGCAGCAGCGGCGCATCATCATCATCAGCAACAACAAGCGGTTGCGGCGGCAGCATTCGGTGCCACATCTAGCATGGTGCCAGGATTTGGTTCGACCGCGGCTTCGAGCGCAGCGTTAGCTGCGGCCGCAGCCGTCGATGCTGCAACCGCCGGCGACAAATCTTGCCGTTATACCGCCAGCCTCACTGGAAATGTTGCACCAACGTCCGCCGATCCAATGGTAAATTATACCCTTGGCCATCATCATCAGAACGGCGCTACACCTAGTAGCCTAGTATCTTCTGCGTCAGCTTCGTCTGCTGTTTCCGCTGCGTCCGCCTCTATGGCTGCCGCTGCACAATTCTATCATCAAGCCGCCGCTGCATCGGCCGTCGTTGATCCTTTGACGTCCTGCCAACAACCTACCACCGGACAACCCAGCATCTCGGACATACCGCGATATCCATGGATGTCCATCACCGGTAAGTCTTTCTTTATAATTTTTGCTGTAATTCCTACATGTAATACAACGATATTTTTATTTTAATACACATATTTAACAAAAATGAAATTTTAAAGGAAAACAAAAATCGTATTAGACTCTTCGTGTTATTAAAAATTTATAAATGGGGAAAAAATATTCTTATAGCTATCGTTAATTGTAAATATAGAAATATTTAAAACCCAAATTTTCGTATAAATTCTGATATCAGGTAATAGAATAAAAATATCGATATTTTTTTTTTCTTTAATGCTCATGAAATGTGTATTTGATGATAAAATAGTTTTTCATATTTAAATTGTTTAGTTAACCAAATAGAATGAAGTTCTATTTGAATATATATCGTTTTACAGTGAATTAGTTTATGTGGATTAAATTAATTGTCATTATATTGTCAATTTCAAATAAATACGTATCGCGTGATCATGTTTCGTTAATGTTCATTCTTAGAATGAATATAGAATAAAATGAAAGATGTAAACCGACGATAAACAAGATTAATTCACCGATTCGAACTTAATCGCCGTCAGTTAATATAGCGTTAAATTATCTATGAGAATGGAATCAATAATAGAGTTAAACGATAATTATAGCGCTTATTTGAACATAATTTTTCAGTTATCATCACGCATTAATAACTACGCGTTGTATCGGATCTTTCTAACAATGCGTCAAAGATAATGAAACAATTGAATCTACATTGTTGAACAAAAGTACAAGTATTACGATCGTTAAAAAATAATGAATTCCTCCCTTTTATTTATGCTTGTACTTATTGCTAGTCACGAAGAGCTGACACGAATTTGCAAGTAAAAATATCGACCATGTTTATTTAGTAGTGATAAATTAACGAAGCAATTATAACGTGATTCGAATCTAAATTTATTGTCTCGTATAAAACCGATATGTATATCATCATTTTATTGTCAATCAAAATCATAAAAAAAATATAATTAAATTATTTTACTTTCATGCAAGATTGTATTTTTATCTTTCATGTATAACAAAATCGCTTAATCAAGAATATATTTTTAAGTTACATTGAAAATGCATAAAAAAAATAAAAGCAATTTGTATCGGATTAATTGGAAATGACAAACACTTCAATCTCAAACGGTAAATGGAAACTGACCTACGGTATACGTGTTTATAGTTATTCTTTCCGTAGGGGGTACTATAGAATACTTGTTAGAACATTGTTATACCTTGAATGTTCCATAAAATGCATGTTCAAACATAAACTATTACTGGCGATATAAAATATAATTATAAAACTAATCTAACTAGTGAAAATTAATATTGATAAATTTTTTTTTAATAATAACTTATTTATTTTTAAAATAATAAAAGTTTATTCTAAATTTTTGCATACAAAATAAACTGAATATGTTATCGGCAATATAAATGCAATAGTAGCATTAGCTAGTCTAATTAATATTAAGGATTTAATTTAAATATATTATCATTGAAACGAAAAACATAATCAACTGTTTTATATAATTTCAATATTAATTAGATGATAGAGACGATAATTTCATTGGATAAGATCTATTTAGAATTTTCATGATTATTCTTAATCAGATGGATCTATACAAACTCTAAAAGCATCGTTAGATTTTATAACACAAAAATACTGCCACAATATTTGTATCTTAAGCTGTGAATATAATTTTCAAATTGAATCTCTGAAGCGTGCATTAATTTACGTAAAATTCTATTTTGTTCATCTCATTGTCCAACATAACAACGCAAAAAGATTACCAACATTTAAGAATATTCTAAATTTTCAATTTAAAGAAACAATAGCGTTCCTTGGTATAAGAGCGTATTCATGATCATCGTTAGACTTGAAATCTTTACTCGTTCCAGCGACCAGCTATTTTCCGTGTCTCGCATAATGCATTCCGAGTACAACTTGTATACATGCGTCTTTGTTTGCGATAGTATTAACGCGAACAAAGTGCCGACGGCGTTTTACCGCGTGTATTCGTGGCGGACAAGCAAGTTGGTCTATCGTCAACATCGCGTACTTGTCGGCAATGTCGTGAAAAAGCATTCGTGTATTTTTAAAAGCTGTTCGATTTACCGATCTCCATTGTTTTTCGTTTTATCGTCGTCGCAATCATCTGGATGAGATGGTCGCGAGCAAGACGATGCGTCCTCCACCCGAGAATGTAACGAAGGGGCCTGGAGCTTGTTCAAGGTTTCGTTTCCAACACTAAACGAAAATAAACCAATTCGAAATAATTGGCTTTCGCAGTGCACTCTTGGCTTTGTGTATACTTCAGGTTATAGAAGTCAAACATTTTCGTGAAAGATCGGGCGATGTCGTTCGAGTCAGTCATTCGTTAACCTTGCATCAATTTCAACGAACAATAATAACGATCAATAATAACGATCAATATGATAATAATGATATTTGTTTAACTATGATTCTAAGCGAATAACTATTCACAATAATTTACGTTTCTGATGAATAATTACTTTAAAATATTATATTGCTTATCCCACGTCAAACTTGTTAGCATTCGCGCGATTTTCGAATTAACGACTCCTAGCGTTTGAATTTTAAATTAAACTGTCAATGAAATACGGCAGAGTGCGCCACAATACACGAATCAATTAGATATGGCGCGGATTGTATTTTAACAAAATTATAATTATTGAATGTATAAATTATTTTCCGAAATTCGTTTTGCTTTTTCAATCTCTAATAACATTTTATTCTGTAACATATTGAAAATATATCGTACATTGATAAAAAAAAAATAGTAGAGAGATCATTTATTACATTCATGAATAATGTATATTCTAACGTTTACCATAAATCATATTCTAAGCAATTTCAATTGGTATGATTCAACATTTTCCGACTTTTTTTTCTTTACGAACGTTTATCATATAACTTTTCGAAGAAAGAAATTTTTGCCTGCGACTAACAGTATTGGAAACTCGTATGAAGAGAAAAAAATCCATTAATGGAAGACATCTTTTCCTGTCAAAGCGTGTTCTTTCAATGGTATTCGTTTATCGCGTAGTATTTGTGAAATGATCAAGGTATACAGCATCAAGTTGGCAGATAAATCATAATAGACAACGTTTAATTCTTCTCGACATGTGCCTCAATATAATTTATAACGATGTCATTTTTTAATTAGATTTTCTTTTAGTAATATTTGCCTTCACAAGCACGAGCAACAGAGAAAAAGAAGGGGGTCACGAAGAACCGTTTTCCTTCTTCATCTATAGCGCAGTCTTATCGGGCAACGTTCGCAAGAAGTGTCTATTCGTGATTCAATAAAGTTCTTATCTGGTTTACGAGTGCGTAAGAATAACTTTACGAGCCGAGAAGAAAGGGAACGTCGTCTCTCGCGGTAGTCGTTCAAATGTAATGCAGTTGAGTGATTTATTAGGATAAATCCCAAGTCGAGAATGAATAGCGTTCGCGATCGGATGACTGAGTGGTTAATTAGAGATGTGGTCGCAAGATACATATATATATTACTGCTGACTGTTACATACTTCAGACTAAAGTTTTGAAGAGATTTTGTCGTTTTGATCGGATCATATATTGAGATCATTGACATACGAAAGATACAGAGATCAATGTTTAAGTTAATTCAGTTCATTTTGAATTTAATCATCGGATTAAAATCGGACAGACTAGAAATAGGATTAGGCTGGTACACTCGAACATTTTACGATCGTATGTTTCTAATCCACCTTTCTAGCGGTCTGAAGTTGCAGCGAGAGCTTGTATGTCGAATAGCAGCGAATTCCTACTTTCTAATTGCGTATCTGTTCGAATAAGTTTCGGTTATATATGTCCTCTCCGATTATCCTTCTTTGTCTCTTTCTTCTCTTCTTGCCGACTATCTCAGCTGTGTTGAGTGCTTGTGTCTCAGTGTGGTTTATCTGAAATGTACATGCTTTTTACGGTCGATAATCTTCGTATCGGATCGATTGACATTCACACTAATTACGACTATTTTTGTTTTCAGATTGGATGAGCCCGTTCGACAGAGTCGTGTGCGGTGAGTATCATATCATTGTTATATTAGTGTAGCCATTTCGCTGAAAAATATTGGCCAAAAATTTTGTTTACTCGGAGAATCGATATTGAAGACGAGATTATTTCCACTTTGATATTTCCGAAACTATTCGAAACTATTACTTATTTGCGTTATCATACACGGGGAATGTGTTCACTTTGCGAGTTTCGAAAGTCCCATGGAATCTCGGCATGAAGATTGTTAATTTGAAGCAACTGAGAAGGTAAAATGAACTTTCGAAGGATCAATTTGTTCCCAAGCGTGCGCCGCTGCCACATATGGCAGCCATATTTTCAAATGTAAGAGCCAGTTTATTCACGAAACACAATCATACAAGGCGGTTATCATTTTTTTTTTATTTCAAGTGCTGGCCAAATTTTATGATAAAATACGTATTTCACTTGTTCAAAATAGATTATTAGATTGGACAGTAAGATAAAATTTAAAATAATTTAGAATTTAAAACAGAAAAGATTTAACCGATAAGAAAAAGTATCTGCACGTCGTAAAATTTTATTCACAATTTTCTTTAACAATATATTCGTGAAATAAGTTTTAAAGCTAATTCGTATCCTATTTCTACGGTTTGATCCGCCCCTGATAATTCCTATAGTCGTCGCTTTTATAAGATGAAGCTCTTTACGGATTCATTGCGGCGTAAAAAAGAAAAAAAGAGTGTCGTTTGGAGAACGAAGCCGACCTGTGTGGCGCTTCAAACTATGTCAAGAAAAGTCAAGGACACAGCTTAAAGGTCGTTTACTCGAATCCTGGTGCCGGTAGCACGTGCTACCGACTCGCGTATCCTATTCATTTATGTTAGTTGCGCATGCAAGAAGGACATGTATACGGCCAACTACACCTGTCGTCACCATGATAATGTTAGCCGCAAATTATACCCGTGACTATGTTTTATATAGCCTATTACGGGCCGCACAATGACGCAGTAAATAGCGATTAAGTGAAATTAAAACTTCACCCATTGAAATTATCGCGATGATGGTTTGTTTACATTGGGTGGATCATAATTTCAAATAGGAATAGTGCAGGAAGTCGCCGGTATATGATGGGAACAGTTACTCAGTCGGTAAATCACAACCAAATTTATTCGTATAAATGAGACACAATTGGCTTTTATATCGCATTCTCCCAATTGCACGATGGGAATAAGCTTGCTCTTTGAACGATTTCTTCGACGTGAGAATATTATCGAGCGCTAATACGTTTCTGAAAAATTATGATCGGAATTGAATTACGATATCTTTAAATCGATATACATATACAGACACTTCATAAATAGTAGCTTACAACTTTCAAGTCTTTATCTTCGTTACGTAGCATCGATGTCACAGACGAATCTTCTCGTATTTTATAAACACGCTCGTGTAGACTGGGTTTTAGGTTTCTGTTGTTGGAGATACGTAAGCTTCTCTGGCACCATCCTCGATAGACGCCGTCCATCGAGAGAGCGAGAGAGACGTGACGTTAATGCATTTGGAAGTTGGGGTGCGTCAGCCGAAATACCTGTGGGAATGTTGCATAGAGACCTCCAGGATGCTTGACTAATTGTAATTGAAGTTATGTACGCGAATCAACGTTAGCCCAGGAACACGCGATGCATTATGCATCGTCCATCCGTGGCGTATTTCTTCTTCCCCTATCTCTTTTGCATCGACAATTGCGAGAGCGCCATCTTTTCAGTCTGGCTATCTCTTAGTGGTTACGTTGTAAAATTAGTCGAGACATTTTTATTAACGTTCCTTAGCTGTTTTTATGGGCTGTGCAATGACGAAGATAAATTGTTGGTACCTTGTCACATCGTGTTTTTCGTATTCCTTTTTTTTTCTCTCTTTAAATATTTTCAGATTTCAATGTAAAGCAATGATTTTTAACCTTTTCGAAATCACAAGTATTTTACGGAACATAAAATGTTAAAAATGTGGAATGATATAATTTTTTATTGAAAATAAAATAAAAACATTTGTAACAATTTCGTAGAATTTTAATGTTTCAAGAAAGATCGGTTAAAATCTAGAGATATGTTTTAGATATTTATTATTATTAAAAAATCTTTAATTTTGGCGCAATTTTCGAAATTTTAATATCTAAAAAAAATAATTTGAAATTCTATTGTGCTCCATTGCAGCGCTTTCGTTATAAAGTAATATAAAAATAGCACTTTGAATTCAACTCAAGCGACGTCATTCTTTTTCTTCCACTCGCTGCAATATCCGTCGCCGTGTCTATGGACATAATCTATCGCTAGTACGTGAATGTACTACGCTTTCGAGCATAGAATTGGGATTGGCGACTGGGTGGCTTCGAACTTTGCACCGATAAAATGCCACGTGATTTCAACTTTAGAATTCTATTTGAAATAAAAATTATATGCGCAAATATGCATTTTTCGAGCATCGAATATTAGTTCGAAATATCATTGAATTTGTATTACAGAGTTGAGAAAGATAAACGATACGGCGAAAAACACCATCTTCCATTTTTCACGAAGAAAGAGAGCATGCGCATTGCGACAAATTATATGTACGCACGCGTTTAACCTCGTAAAATTAGGAAAGAAGCGCTCACATCCATTTTATAATATACAAAATTAACTCGAAAATACGAGTATCTAATCTTTCACCGGTGGTATGTGAACGTACATACTGCATTTTGAGGTCAGGGATCGGCGGCCTGCTGATGACTCTGTGGTATTTCGCGATATCGTTTTTCTATATGTGTGTTTTCTTTTCGGTCCACCATCTTGGACTGCGACCAAATTTTCAGGCAACGGAATACATAAATTACGCATGCTACATAGGTTTTCTATTTTAATGTTTGCATTAAATCTTAATTGACATTATTATGACAAATGTATATATTAATATGATTAAATAATTTATTTTAAATCATCATATTTATTATAGTATTAAATATAATATTCTGATATACAATTATTCTTTCGTATGTGTCAAAGTTCGAAAGTGATAGATTGAGGTTATGTTTAAAAAAATATTACTGTTTCATATGTAGTGAAGAAAAAAATATTAAGAAAAATAATTCCATCGTAACGTTTGTAGGATACAACCAATTATATATCTTCTAGAATTATTTATAACAAGTTCAATTCAAATAATTTACGTGGTCCGACACATTATACGCTATAACTCCATGACAATTCGTCCATTAACCGTACATGAAAACATCAAAAGGGATAGCGCGTAATCCTTGGAATCTATCACAATAATTGCATAATTCAATCTGTGTCATTTCTCTATTTCTTTTGTCGGTGGCGTCGAATGTTTGACGTCTTTGCGATAAGGTTCAGTGGCCAGTGAACGTCTAGTCGGGTTTTGTATACGCTCTCGGCGTATCACGAGATAATATATAATTTATAAACAGTTCGATCTGCTGGGTAACATTGCGCCAGCAAACATTCTTGTTAGCTTACTCAGTACTTGGTACAGTCGTTCCGTGTTTCTTTCCTTTGATTAATCCTCACTGTTGCTGTGTCGTTCCGAGAAACGTTTACTCCCGTAACTGAGAAGAGCAACAGTGAAATCTTTCTAAATTACAAGCTGGTCTTTTTTTTTACTTCCTCACAGAATGTCTATTGTGGAAATAGAATTTATTTTTTATTTCTGCTTCCTGTGATAAATATACCATTATATATACCACTATACACAATATTATAAATATTGCAAAAATATTATAATAATATTAGGTTATTGTATATGAAATAGCCAAGTTCACAAATTTATACAATCAATTAACTTCGTTAAGATATATATATATATATCGTATATATTGTATATTTATATTTTATATTTATATTTAGAACATAACCTCTTAAGAAGTTAGGTTAACTTAGATCGTATATATAGATATATATGACTAAAGCGAGAATGACGTATATATATCCATTATTAAAATTTTTATATTATTTTATCTGATGTATGTATCAGAATAATAGAATATAATAAATTGCTATTGATATAAAAAAAATTTTAATTTTCATAATTTTACCTGTTTGATAGATAAGATATGTTATATTAATTAAAATTATTAATATTAATTAAAAAGCCTTGATTAATATTATTTTTAATGAAACTTAATAATCTTATTAAGAACCTAGTCGTGCCTTTTGCAACAATATAATATCACACGCAATTTACATAATAATCTAGTTACATTGAATAAACTGTCCATAATAAGCACTGAAAGATAAATCAACGATTATCAGGGACAATGTTTATTAAGTATCCGAATGTGTAACGAGTTAACGCGATTTTTGTCGGCCACCTTCCGATAATACCGTAGTCAAATGACCCCCTTTAATCTATCCCCGCATTCGTAAACGGTGTGCATTTTGATGTCAGGGTTCTTGTCTAGTTGGATTTTGGTGTGTACACGAGGTCTAGCACGAGATAATGTATAATTTATAATCAGACCGTTTCTCTGGCAACAGTGCGCCACTGCATGGACTGAATCTTCCGCCCCAAAAGCCGCCAACCCCTCATTAGCATTCGATGATGGCTGCCGCGTCCTGCAGCGTCCGTATTATCCCGTTTCATCGTTCCTGCCTCCCCTACCTGGGCTTCTGCTCGTTTCCATCCGCCTTCTCCTCCTCCCACTTTGCCTCTGTCTCGCTCTCTCCTCTATTCTACGCCTATCCTCCCGCCTGTCTAATGCTATACCGTCAAGTAGCGGAAAATATCGAAAAAAAAAGAAATTATTTTCTCTTAGAAAAAACTTGTTGTGTACTTTCAGATTGAAAATATTATAATTATATGTAATAATTATAATGTTATAATAATTATGATAATTATTCATAAAGTAAGTATTTTTCATTAATTTCAATGACGTTGAAGTGTGTTGCCATCTTGAATAATTCTTTTTCTATTTACAGAATGTTAATATATTCGTGAAAATAGTTAATTAATTCTTTGGAGGATCGATACTACTAGGCTGACATGAAAAAGTTGATA